CATGCACTTGTCCATGATACTAGCCATAAGACATCCAAGAAACACATAACAAACATTTCTTCTGCAAACTTTGTCAGCGCAGTGAAAAGGCGGCTCAAGGTGAACACTGTACAGAAGCCAGGTCAGAGTCACTGGCAGGGTCATCACCTGCCATTAATGCTGTGCGAGGACGCTGCCAGCGGACAAGGTAAGCTCGCCTCCGGGGTCCGGGTTTTGTTCTCATCGTCACTCGACCGCCGCTCTGCATCTACTCCCAGATGACGATCGATTCTGCCTGGCAAAGAGCATGAAACGGTTGCACTTACCCAGCGCCGGCCCAGCCAGGCCTCCCAGTCAGACAATCGCCTCTGGACTCTTACAGGTTTTGGCTTGCTGCTGGATGACACCTGCGCAACTGGCGAATGAGACACCCGAGAAGTGGCACATGTCAGCGTTCGCATGCTTGGGCCCTGGGGCCCTGGCCCTTGGGCCAGTGCCAGCTCGAGCTGCTGCAGCGCCTGCAGAGTCAGGAGCAGCTCTCATAATGACAGCAATGTGCGCCAAAGCACATGCAACAATGGCAGCAAAGCACACTGGACACCCAGGTGCCTTTCGTCTTGCCATCAGCCTTTGTTGCCTCAGTATGACCAGCAGTAACTTAACCTTAAACTGACTTGTTTCTGCTGTAGACTTGCGCATGTTATCATCCCAGCCTGCTTTGGCTCAGATGGGGCTGAGGCTGCCAGAGCACCTGCTTTTTCAACGCAATGAAAAAGCCAAACAAACGTAAACAATCTCATCGTGGCAAAACAAGGTGACAAGGCCTTTCTTAGTCTTGCCAGCAGCCTTTGTTGCCTGTGGCTGAGTGTGGTGACCAGACGTCTCAGACAGCAGCTGCCCTTGACCAGCCTGTGCTGCCGCGGGCTTTTTGAGCACTTTTGCATGTTTGGAGTTGCCTGTCAGTCAGACTGATTCCAGCAGCGCGCTGGGCACAGTGTCAAAAGGCAGGCCTCGAAGTGGAGCAGGACGCTTTGTCCCCTGGCAACTGCAGTGCTCATACAAAACTGCCACCAGGACTCAATGTGAATCACGACCCGGCCTTTGATGGCCTAGCTGATGGCGATGATGAGGATGATGATGAGCCGGAGTCAAGAGTCCGCCTGGCACAGGAACTTCTCCTCCAGGACCGCTGCCTTGGTTTCTGCTGCTTCCCGCAGCCCTTTCTCTCGGGTCAGCACCGTCCTGGCCCTCTCCACATGGCGCTCAAGGTTGCGGGATGCCAAGATGTCCTGCTGCTTAATCTTCTGCTCCAGTTGGCACGCCGTCTTCTGGTTGTCAACCAGCCTGCCCTGGAGGTCCACCAGGCCAGCTTGCAGCTGTTTCTGGGCGTGGCGGCTGTCTTCCAGCTGTTTTTCAAGCTGCTTTGCCTTTTGCTGCTCTGCCCGCAGCTTTAGCTTTGCTTCCTGTTCTTCTGCCAGCTGCTTTTCTAGCTGCTTTGCCTTTTGTTGTTCTGCCCACAGCTTTTGCTTTGCTTCTCGATCTTTCTGCCTGCGATCATAGCTGGGACCATCATGGCGCGGCATCTGAATCTTACCTTGAAAGTTGCCTGTCACAAACTGTTACCGTTCTGATGGCGATCAGTGATAGGAACGCTCAAGGTGATGCGTCGCAGTGATGCGTGATTCATGGCAGAGTGTGTGCCAGTGTCATGTCTTATATGCCATGCCAAGTGACACTTCAGCAGCTGCAGCCAACGGTTGCTACACACACACGCACAGACGCACTCATGCCATGCGCACACACACACACGCACCAGACTAACTTCCTGACTCAATGTCAGCTCAGGTACCAGCTGGTGTCAGTCGGCCACTGCATCAGGTCCGCCTCAGCCCCGCAGCTGGACACACACACACAACAGCCGAAAGAAGTGCCCCCAGTGACCCACCCGTAACCTTCACATTGCATTGAAAGCTTAAACCTGGCCTGTGAGCCGTGTTGGAGTTGTCCGGAGCCTGACAGAGCGTCGTCGGACTGACTGACTCTGAATAGAACAGCAGTCCACAGTTATCATCCTGATGAGGACACATCCAAGTGCCAATAAGGACACATCCAAGTTCAAGCCGCAGATGGATGATGGATGAAGGATTGTGACATCTGAGTGATCTATTCAAGGGATGAGCCAGCAAAATCTCCCAGTTTGTCTTATGCTGAACATTGCAAGTTCTTCTCAGCCCTGAGACAGCCAGGGCTGGGAACCCAAGACCTGGAAGCCAGGACTTGGAGTCAATGGCTGCCCTGCCTCGCCTGGCCCCCACGATGAGCACCTCAGGCAACAACACACAGTGCTCAAAGCAGACGCAGATTCGATGTTCAACATCATGATGCAGACTATGATAATTGCAAAAGCAAAAGGCGCAAAGCGCAATTGTTGCTCATGATGTCATGGCTGCTGTCGGCACTTAGCCTCACTCACTCAGGCTTCGTGATTCGATTAGAAGCACTGACGTCGGTCAGCAAAAGCTTCAATTACGGGACCAGCCAGACACTGAATCCATTCCAGAGAAATATTATTCTCAAGAGCGGCCTTCAAGCTTCTCCCACTAAAGCGATCCCTGAGCGCTGGCTGGTCAAAACTTGTGGCCTTTAGCCACCCTCACGCCCAAGTCCAACCAGTGGACTCGGAAGGCTCGGCATTGCCAGCTGGGTCGCCAGCAGACTTCGAGGCATAGCCACCCTCAGGCTCGGGTTCAGAAGGCTCGGCATCATTGCCAAGACTAAGAAACTGCCAGCCCGTCAGGCTCGGATTCAGCTGAGGAAGGCCAACGATGGCGTACCCCAGGTCCTGGGCGAAAGCGAACGCTTTCACAGCGTTAAATTTTCAAAGCTGACGCGCCGCTTGCTGACTAGAAGCATCAGGGCTTTGGAGGCTTTGCAGTGACTCCAAGTAGTAGGCGCCAGCCTTGGAGTGTCACTGCTAAGCCCCCTGAATTCAGTCAGTTTAACGCCAACCACATCTGAACTTAATGACGTCAAGCCAAGCAGCGTATGTGAGGCTTCGTGGTGACTGAGGCGCCTCTTCCCAGATTCCATTGGTTCGCAGGATAAACAGGTGCTCATCCGTCGACCATGCCGGCCAGCCGGTGCAATGAAAGTCCTTGATATAGAGATGCCGGCGGTCACCGCTCACTTCCCTGGGCTCTCTGGCAAAAAAAAGAAGTCTTAAGGACCAAAAAGCGCCCTGACAATCTACTTAAAAAAATCAGGCAGGCTCCGTGCAAGGGCGACCAGGCAATTTGCTTGGCCTTCAAGGTGCGTCGCCTGAAGCAGATCTGGCCAACGTAGGGCTTGCGGGGGTTGTCAGGCACCTGTCGACAATGACATGGCCAATGGCAGCACTGCCAGCATGCAATCTGGAACCACACACTTCAGATATGTATTGCTACCTCCAAGGCGCCAGGACGAGCCACTGGTCTGGACGATGGTGCCAGCGGAAAAGGAAGGCAGGGTGGCGGCACGCCATGGCTCTTAAATGCGCTTCGAGGCCTGCTGTGGACAGTTGACGCGGCCGTTCCTCTGCCTGTGGAGCTACATGCAAGTAGTGCTGTAGTGGAGCTAAGGCTGTTCGTTCGTGGAGCTACACTGAGTGTCTGAGCCTGCTCGGATGCCTCACACAAGTGCCAAGTGGTCTCATGGCAACCATTTCCTCGACACGAGGGCTGGGGCTAGCGCTCCTTGCTGATGATGGTGATGGTGACATGCAGCCAAAGAAGGCTCCTGCAAGAAAATTTCAGGAACACACAATGCGCTGCATTACTCAGGGGCAAGTCAAAACCCTTTGGCAAGCCGAAGGCCAGCAGCCTGGCAAGCAAAGCTGGGCAGGCGCCAGCCGATCCTGCCATGTCAAAGATCGATGTGTGCAGGTGTCAAGCGGAGCGAAGTCTCACACCTTGACAAGTGGATTAAATCAATTGTGAGGTGCACATATTTGATTATTGGCCCTGAGTCTCAGGTGCAGCAACCACAATCAATTTGGAGAGCCAACAATTGTCCTGAAGCCCTTTTCAGCACAAGGCCAAGACAACATCAAAGCAAGTTGGAAGTGCGACTTGCAGTAAAATAAGGCTGCCTTGAACTTGGAAAAGTCCGATCACATTGGCCACCTCATTCAGCCACTGCTGAGTTGAGTCAGCCAACGCTCGGCTCAAGATAAGGGCCAGACTCAGACTGGCTCTCTGTCAAAAATCCTCACTGACTGACTGCAAACTGTTTGCTCAAAGACACTGCCAACGGTGACAGAATTGTCGTGAGTCCGCTCAAGCGATAATCGCTCAGGCCAGGGCTTCCTTTCTGCCAGACCTGACGATCACAGGATGGTCTCAAGAGCAGGAGTTTCAGTGGTAAGAACTGCAAGCTGGCACTGTGTGTCATCACGGCGTGTCTACAGCATCTTCTGGAACTTTTCCCTGCTGTTCACATCAATGAGTCGAGTCTAACACTTAGTAACACCATTTCTTTGCGAGCGAGTGCTGCCCCGGCTGTGTGGCAAGCAGCTAAAGACACTGCCACGCTTATTATCATGTTCTTTCTGATTAGCACAGCTTTGCGTGCCAACACAGCATGATAGCACTCGAGGAGTTGGCACTGAGTGCTGGTGCGACTCATATTAGAAGTTCTAAATGTGGACACTCGACCAGCAACCACAGTCAAAGTTCCAACATCCAAATGTTCAGCCTAGTTGCTGCGCGGTATATCTTTTAGGCTCGTTGGCAGTTGACTTATTAATGACCGATTCTCAAACAACAGTGCTTGGTTGCATGGCCGGCAGCCCAACTCTGGTCAGGGCCACGCTGATTGCAGCTGTGAACCCAAGGGCCTAAGCCTAGCTGTCAGGCTTCACAATCTGAAGCGCTTTGCCAGGAGGAATTGTGAGACTGACAGAGTTGACAACCATTGGACGGATGGGCTGAAGGCCTTTCGCGGCAACAGGCGGCCACTTCATAGCCCAGCACATCTTGATGTACTTACCGTTCCACTTTGACGCTGGCTGGCAGGGTCCCGGCCATGTGCGCTGCAGGGATCTTGGCGACATCATCCTGGCCGGCCTCAGCGCCTTCCGTTTTCACCACCTTCGCGGGAAAATCAGAGGCTTTGAAGTACACCTGGGCCTGCTTGGGGCTGAGTGTAAATGCCGCCGGCTCCGTGGCTGAGGGCGAATCCGTCAAGGTGTGATACCCCACGTGGGCGTCACTTGGGCTCAGCGATCGCTTCGTCTTGATCGTGTCCAGGAGGCTCATGTACTTGCCGCCCAAGATGATGCAGTCCTGCGAGCCCTCCAAGGAGAACAGCACATCGGCTGGGCCAATCTCCTCTTTTTCCTTTCCCGTCGGCGCCCAGAACTTGCCCTTGTAGTAGCCAGCCAAGGTGGTCCCTTTGCGGATCGTGATGGGCTCGGCGTGCGTGTTTTGCAAGTAGGCGCCCTCGCCAACTGTGACCACGAGCATCACCGCGCTCAGGTTGCCAGATCCGACAAGGTGAGCCTCATGGCTCAGAGGATTCAAGTTGCTGGGCTCGAAAAAGTCCTCCTCGGCAATGGCCGCCTTGTCACCGTCACCGTCGGTCTTGCTGCCGGATGGCAAAGCGCCCGGCACATTGGTTTTTCGCTTCTTGCTCTTGCCGTCGTCTTCATTCTCAGAGCTGCGCGTCTTAGGGGGGCAGGTCTAGTGGATAATCTGCACGCGTCTTCTGCAAGAACTCCCTGAACTCACCCTTGAAGATGCTGTGGTCATGCCAGGCAGCCAAGACTTTGGCAGGCGTGGACAGGGTCTGGAGGGTGGAGCCTGGAAGCCTGGTCTTGGAGTACGCCAGCAAGGAGAGGTTGGGTGGCGGTGGCTGCGCAGCTACAAGCTCTGCGTTCCTGCAAAATGCGGTGCAGCTGGCCAATCACACGTCATCCCAATCAAACTCAAAGACTCCAAAGGAAGACCCAAAAATAATGATTTACAACCTTCTCCTTTCCGGCAGGCTGATGAACGGTTTGAAGTTGCCATTGCTGAGCTGCTCGGCCAGCTTCTCGGTGTGATGCTGCAAGGCCCAGTCCACCTGGCCATGATTCGCTTGATACTTCGGCAGTGCCTCATCATTACCACCACACACGTTATGACGCACCACTGGCCCCAACACAGTGGCCACAACCAAATGGCTTGGACACGATTGCCCATCGCTCTGGGTGGCATGGAGCCCCAAGTAGAACAGGTTCATCCCCCCCATGCTCTGCAGGAAGTTCTCCTTGACCACAGCGCGGCCAAGGTCTCCAGTGTGAGCATTCAGATCCACCACCAGGACCACAGGCTTGGGCGCGCCGGTCAAGGAGGACAGCGCTCCACGCAGAATGCTTGTGCAGCCATCAACTCCGACCTGCGCAACCTTCTCTGCCGCGCCCTGGGTGTGTGTCAGCGACTCGTGCTCGGCAGGGCGTCGTCAGAAATGTCCTCAACGGCGACCAAGTCTTTTCCAGACACCACCTCAGCCGCATCCAGGAGCCCTTTGCTGAGCAGAGCCGAGGACCTCCAGAACTGCCACGCTTTGGAATGCGAACGCCATCGCATCAGCATCAACCGCCATGTGAATCATGAATCTGCAGGGTTCCGTTGGATTCGATTTGATGGAATACGATTGATTCATTCTTCGATTCGATTCCATTCATGGCCATTGAATTTCATTCATTCCATTCATTCATTCATTCCATTCATTCCATTCATTCATTCATTCCATTGAATTCGTTCGTCATTTGTTCATTCATTCCATTCATTCCATTCCATTCATTCATTCATTCATTCATTCATTCCATTCCATTCATTCCATTCATTCATTCATTCATTCATTCATTCATTCATTCCATTCCATTCATTCCATTCATTCATTCCATTCATTCATTCCATTCATTATATTGATTGCATTCATTAATCTTCATTTATGATTAATAATCTCATAATATCAAATCTTGAAAAGTTAAACACAAAGAAAGAACAAATATGAGTAATAGCACAGAACAGTGAAAAGTTTATTACCTTTTCATTGAACAGACTTGAATTTAAGGACAGTTTCAGTTTCTTATCATCGTCGTTAGAAAAACTGGTTAAATTAACAAAATATGAAGAGAATAAGTTGAGACCTGACTGGGAAAATCATTTCAAATACAGTTTCAAAGGTAAATACATTAAAAAGCAAGATTTTGCGACAGAAAAAGGGAATTTGCATTCATTCATTCATTCATTCATTCATTCATTCATTCATTCATTCATTCAATCATTCATTCATTCATTCATTCATTCATTCATTCATTCATTCATTCATTCATTCATTCATTCATTCATTCATTCATTCATTCATTCATTCATTCATTCATTCATTCATTCCATTTCATTCATTCATTCATTCATTCATTCATTCATTCATTCATTCATTCATTCATTCATTCATTCATTCATTCATTCATTCATTCATTCATTCATTCATTCATTCATTCATTATTTCATTCATTTCATTTCATTTCATCATTCTTTCATTCATTCATTCATTCATTCATTCATTAATTCATTCATTCATTCATTCATTCATTCATTCATTCATTCATTCATTCATTCATTCATTCATTCATTCATTCATTCATTCATTCATTCATTCATTCATTTGTTCATCCATTTGTTCTTTCATTCATTCATTCATTCATTCATTCATTCATTCATTCATTCATTCATTCATTCATTCATTCATTCATTCATTCATTCATTCATTCATTCATTATTTCATTCATTCATTCATTCATTCATTCATTCATTCATTCATTCATTCATTCATTTCATTCATTTCATTCATTTCATTCATTTCATTTCTTTCATTCATTCATTCATTCATTCATTCATTCATTCATTCATTCATTCATTCATTCATTCATTCATTCATTCATTCATTCATTCATTCATTCATTCATTCATTTCATTCATTCATTCATTCATTCATTCATTCATTCATTCATTCATTCATTCATTCATTCATTCATTCATTCATTCCATTCATTCATTCCATTCATTCATTCATTCATTCATTCATTCATTCATTCATTCATTCATTCATTCCATTCATTCATTCATTCATTCATTCATTCATTCATTCATTCCATTCATTCATTCATTCATTCATTCATTCATTCATTCATTCATTCATTCATTCATTCATTCACACGCACTTAACCCTTTGACACGCCCACATCATGATTTGTTTCAGGCCCAGCGGGCCTTTAGTCTCTTTCATCAGCTCTGTCCATGTAAGGCAGAACGAAGGGCATATCCATGTTCAACCGGGAGTTCGCCAGGAGTTTGTTGGCTGATTCCTCCTGTTTCCAAAGAAGCCCACGATGATAGCTGTGCGCTGGAGAGAGGAGCAGGCCGATGCAGGCGCCAGTCTCCGGGGAGTGCGAGTTCACCAGGTAGCCTGCTAGGGCAGCCTGTGTGCGCTGGTTCTCGGAGCTCACCAGGGATGGCGCACTCCAGTTCAAAAGCGCCACTACGCAAATGCTGTCTTTTGCCACCTGGAAGGTCTGAGACAGGCGGCGCAGGATTCCATCAATGCGCGCCACACCGTCCTGTGGGCTGCCATGGCAAGCCAGAGTTGCCATCCACTCCCGGCTAGACTCTTGGAAGCACGCCTTGGCTTGGCGGAAAGCCTCCTGCTGCCTAGCAAGTTTGTGCTGCAGCTCAGCGTGATACACACTGGCTTCGTGATCCTCGCACTTCAGCAGCCAGTTGGCATACGCCTTGATGTCGTGCCTCAGCTTGGCAAGGGCTTGGCAAGGGTCAATTATCACGAGGCTCAGCGCTGAGTAGGCAAATGACAGCCGCAATGAAACCAGCTTGCTACAGCACTCAAGGCACTCAAACATCTTCAGCATGAGCGAAAACTCCTCCCTCTCTAGCTCACCAGCCACAATGGACCTTTTCTCGGATTCAGTCCTGAACTTGCCCTCAGCACTGGCAGCATGACCTTTCATAAGCTCCTTGACCACCGTCAAACCAGCCGAGGTCCAAGAGGCGGAGCGCTCAGCCAATGCCACCTGGAGCTCCATCTCGAGGTTACGGTCCCCAGCCAGCAGCTTCTCGCTGAGAGAAGTTGCCGCAACTCCCTGCTCTGCCAAGTCGTCCTGGACAGCCTGCAGCAACTGGCACAGGTGCGCTGCTTCCTGCAAGGCCTCCTTGGAAAGCTTTGCCCGATTACCTGGCAGTAGCCGCCGGTGGGTGGCATCCACAAACCGGATCATCATCACAAAGCTCGCGGCGGTCTGAGTCAACCTCTTGCTCCAAATCTTGTCCCCCGTCTTGGTCACAGCACCCACCTGGATGGCCTTGTTGGAAAAGGCCTCCTGCAACGCAACAGATTTTGCGAGCGTGGCAGCAATAATTCATTCTAACTTTGA